TGCTAAATCTAGGTGTCAAACCCCAGTGTGCCATGTGGAAGTCCAGCATCTTAACCAGTACACCACCTGCTGGCCCTTGGAATTTAAAACTTTCATCTGTTGCCTAAAGATGGTCTAATTTTGTTACCCTATTTTTTGAGGTTTTTGCTTTAGGTGGGTGTGCTCTCCTGAGAGAGAGGAAGACAGAGACTGTGAGAAATCACCCAGTCTGGGAGGTGGCCATACTGCAATCTCTTCTCTTCCATTTTCCTCCTGGGGTTTTGGGCATGCACGCACACACGCCTGGCATGGTTTTCAAGCTGCCAAGTCCGGGACTCAGACTCTGGTTGCCATGTGGGAACTGCTATGCCATCCGCTGGCCCTTATTATTATCTTTTAATTGGTTATAGGTCATGTGCATTCACCAGAGAGAGAGAGCGAGAAAGGGAAAGTGAGAAAGCAAGCTGCCAGGTCCGGGACTGGAACTGTAGTCGGCCATGTGAGAGTCCAGTGCCTTAACCACCACACTACCTGCTGACCCTGCAAGTTTAAGTTATAGATATAATTCAAGGGGAGATCTCGCATTTATAAATGAGAAACAGCCCTAGAGGGTCGATGCTTCCCAAGATCCAGACAGGACTTCCTTCCCCTCAAACGGGCTGGGGACAGAGGACAGGGACCCAGTGGGGGGCAGCAGGGAGCCCTTATGGTTCAGGGACTGAAAAAGTAGAGAAATTAGACATGCCGAGTCTCAAGCTACAAAGAAGCTTAAAGACCAATGAAATCCCACGGGCGGAAGTGGTGCAGAGGCAAAGTGCAGCGCTGCATGGCTGGCCCTGGGGGCGGTCCTGTCCTCCTGGCACATGCGTGCCACGGCCGGCTGAGCCGGGGCCACGGCAGCGAGTCCCTGCAGGGTGCTGTTCCACTCTGCCTCTCTTGTTCATGGATGAATTAAATAAAGCTTAAAAGAAGGGGGGCACCTGCTGGCATAGCGGTTGAGGCAATTGGATCCCACATGGCTGACTATGGGGTTCAAGTCCCTGACTCAGCAGCTTGAAAAATATGCTGGGCACTTGTGCCCAAAGTCTCGAGAGGACAAGGGACTACAGCATAGCCACCTCCCGGGGGGTGTTCTCTCTCTCTCTCTCTGTCTCTCTCTCTCCAGAGAGCACATGTGCCCTATGGAAAACGAAACAAATAACAGCAACAACAAAACCCAAAATACACAACTTAAACAAAAAGAAATTCCAATCCAAAATGAGACTCAGAGAAGGGGAGTGACGTGCTCAGAGTCAGAGCCAACCAGAGCTGAGCGCGGTCCCTCTGACTCTGTGACCTGGCGAGGCCTCGCCCTATTCATCTCTCTGCAACTCCTCGCTGTGTCTGGCAAATCACTTCTCTTCTCTAAGCCCCAGTTACCGGGTCCTCAAAGAAAGACACGCCATCCTCTGGGACCTGTTTGTTTGCTGAGGGCCCCTGGGCTGGGCTCTGACCCTCTCTGAGCCTGCCTGTCTTCCTCCCCTGAGGTCCTGCAGAGGAAGGTCCTCGGGAGCAGGGCTGGGGGCCACAGGACGGGGGCTGCTTGCCCTACCTCCCACATGTGCCCTGCAATGGGGCAGTCCGCCCAGGCGTGCTCCACGCTGAGGCCCAGCTTCCCGTTGGAGAAGACGATCAGGGTGAAGGACTTATCGAACCAGCTGTGGGCAACAGTTCAGAGGGGTCACCAAAGGTGAGAGGCAGGAGCACACTCGGGGTACTTCCTGAGGGACTCGAGGAGGGTGGGTAGTGACGTGAGAATCTGACAGCATGGGAGTCTCTGGAGGAGGGGGGGCCCTAGCGGCTGGCTCTGGAGGGTCTCTAAGATGCGTCTAGGATTTCGGAGAGTTTTAGGGGACTTGCGGAGGAGGGCTCAGGGACAGGGGCTGGAAGTTGGGAGGACACTCGGGCATCAGAGGGATGGTGCCTGGGGGGCATGTGGAAGTTGTCCAAGGGTCTCTAGGAATGGGGGTGCTGAGTCTGAGGCCCCGCATTAAGTCGCCTGGGTGGAGCCTGAGGACCTAGCAGTTCAAGCTCTGAGTCTGAGGGCCCCCCGCCGCCCCCCCCCTCTAAAGGTTTTAGGGATCTTCGCTCCTGGGCTTGGAATACTGAGTCTGGGTATTGGGCCTGGGGTCTCATGAGGGGTTCTCTAGGTCTAAGGGTCTGCTCAGGGGTTTGGGAGTCTCATATCTGGGGTTCCAGGGTCCAGTGTTCTCAGATGTGGGGGGCCCTGGCTCTGGGGTCGGGGTCTGGGGTCGGGGTCCAGGTTCTGGCTGGCGGCAGCTGGGGCGGGCTCACCCGGCGTGTGCC